TTAGGGGATACCTATCCTATGGGTGGTTATCAAATGATTAGCCTACCTATCTGGAGGGTATTCCGGAGATCAACGCCCCCGCTGCCTGGTCCACGACCAGGCCTCCACGTGGATCAGGGCCTAATCAACCATGCTGTTACTGCTGGTCGCACGTAGTCCAACATACGAACCACAGCCCGGCTGATCCGGCACCAACTTTAAGTATTTGTCCAGCTCCCTCTTGAAGGCAGCCAGGGGGTCTAATGGTAATTCCCTTTATGCCTGGCGGGAGACTGTTGAACAGTCTTGGACCCCTGACATTTATTGTGTTTTCTCTTAGTGTACCAATAGCGCCCCACCTTTCATTGGGGGTATTTTGCACCGCCTACCCAGTCTTGCTCTCGTATGGAGTAATTTCTGTGTGCAGATTAGGGACCATTCCTTCTAAGTTTTTCCAAGTGTAGATTATGATGTGTATCTCTAGCCTGCGCTCCAGCGAGTACAAGTCAATTGCTTCCAAGCGTTCCCAGTAGTTAAGGTGTTTGACGGAACTTATATGTGCAGTAAAGGTTCTCTGTACATTCTCTAGATCTGCAATTTCACCTGCTTTGAATGGAGATGAGAATTTACAACAGTATTCCAGTCTAGAGAGAACAAGTGATGTAAAAAGGATCATCATTGGCTTGCCATATCTTGTTTTGAACGTTCTTATTATCCATCCAATCATTTTCTTCGCAGATGTGATAGTGGCACTGTTGTGATCTTTGAAAGTGAGATCCTCAGATATTACCACTCCCAGGTCTTTCACATTACTTCTCCGCTCTGTGTGATTTAGTTTGTAATATATTCAGTATACTCGTATCAGTATACTCGTATCAGTATACTCGTAACAGTATACTTGTATCATAATTATACTTGTATCATAAGTATACTTGTATCATAAGTATACTTGTATCATAAGTATACTTGTATCATAAGTATACTTGTATCATAAGTATACTTGTATCATAAGTATACTTGTATCATAAGTACACTTGTATCATAAGTACACTTGTATCATAAGTATACTTGTATCATAAGTATACTTGTATCATAAGTATACTTGTATCATAAGTATACTTGTATCATAAGTATACTTGTATCATAAGTCCAGGGACTTCAGCCCCAATATTTTGTCAGCAAGTTACAGTAATGCTTGATGTCGACTCCGTTCAGGGCAGGAGAGATCGGAATTAGAATAGATATAGAGAGGTTTACTGCCTGCAAAAAAAGTCATCGCACGTAGGCCTCGACTTTTCACCGAGCTGCCAGTACATGTCAGAAATAATGCTGGAACAAGTGTGCGTGGAAGTTCTCAAGAGAAAAATTCATTAATACTTCCGCGGAGTGTCAAATTAACAGACTGTGATTGACATGTGGGCGAGGAGAGTGAGGAAGCACTGGAAAACGGTTACACGTAAATCACAATTAAACCATAGTAAAAAAGTTTATAAAAACCTGGTATATATATACGGAGAGCTTGTATACAAGATAAAAACAATAGTTAAGCATTTTATTGTAAAACATAGACTCCCCATGAGTGAAAGTTTCCTTGATAAAATATTCTAATTTTAAATATTTTAATAGTATCGAGTTATATAAATTCAGTCACAAATTTTAGTGACATGATTAGTGTGTGTCAGTATGGCTGATTGTATTGTGTCAGTATGGCTGATTGTATTGTCAGTATGGCTGATTGCATTGTTGTGGTGTCAGTATGGCTGATTGCATTGTTGTGGTGTCAGTATGGCTGATTGTATTGTTGTCAGTATGGCTGATTGCATTGTTGTGGTGTCAGTATGGCTGATTGTATTGTGTCAGTATGGCTGATTGTATTGTCAGTATGGCTGATTGCATTGTTGTGGTGTAAGTATGGCTGATTGTATTGTTGTCAGTATGGCTGATTGCATTGTTGTGGTGTCAGTATGGCTGATTGTATTGTGGTGTCAGTATGGCTGATTGTATTGTGTCAGTATGGCTGATTGCATTGTTGTGGTGTCAGTATGGCTGATTGTATTGTGGTGTCAGTATGGCTGATTGTATTGTTGTCAGTATGGCTGATTGCATTGTTGTGTTGTCAATATGGCTGATTGTATTGTGGTGTCAGTATGGCTGATTGTATTGTTGTGTCAGTATGGCTGATTGTATTGTGGTGTCAGTATGGCTGATTGTATTATCAGTATGGCTGATTGCATTGTTGTGGTGTCAGTATGGCTGATTGTATTGTTGTGGTGTCAGTATGGCTGATTGTATTGTTGTCAGTATGGCTGATTGCATTGTTGTGGTGTCAGTATGGCTGATTGTATTGTGTCAGTATGGCTGATTGTATTGTCAGTATGGCTGATTGCATTGTTGTGGTGTAAGTATGGCTGATTGTATTGTTGTCAGTATGGCTGATTGCATTGTTGTGGTGTCAGTATGGCTGATTGTATTGTGGTGTCAGTATGGCTGATTGTATTGTGTCAGTATGGCTGATTGCATTGTTGTGGTGTCAGTATGGCTGATTGTATTGTGGTGTCAGTATGGCTGATTGTATTGTTGTCAGTATGGCTGATTGCATTGTTGTGTTGTCAATATGGCTGATTGTATTGTGGTGTCAGTATGGCTGATTGTATTGTTGTGTCAGTATGGCTGATTGTATTGTGGTGTCAGTATGGCTGATTGTATTATCAGTATGGCTGATTGCATTGTTGTGGTGTCAGTATGGCTGATTGTATTGTTGTGGTGTCAGTATGGCTGATTGTATTGTGTCAGTATGGCTGATTGTATTGTGGTGTCAGTATGGCTGATTGTATTGTTGTCAGTATGGCTGATTGCATTGTTGTTGTGTCAGTATGGCTGATTGTATTGTTGTGTCAGTATGGCTGATTGCATTGTTGTGGTGTCAGTATGGCTGATTGTATTGTTGTGGTGTCAGTATGGCTGATTGTATTGTTCTGATGTCAGTATGGCTGATTGTATTGTTGTGGCTGATTGTATTGTTCTGGTGTCAGTATGGCTGACTGTATTGTTCTGGTGTCAGTATGGCTGACTGTATTGTTCTGGTGTCAGTATGGCTGATTGTATTGTTCTGGTGTCAGTATGGCTGATTGTATTGTTCTGATGTCAGTATGGCTGATTGTATTGTTCTGGTGTCAGTATGGCTGATTGTATTGTTCTGATGTCAGTATGGCTGATTGTATTGTTCTGGTGTCAGTATGGCTGATTGTATTGTTCTGGTTTCAGTGTGGCTGATTGTATTGTTCTGGTTTCAGTGTGGCTGATTGTATTGTTCTGGTGTCAGTATGGCTGATTTTATTGTTCTGGTGTCAGTATGGCTGATTGTATTGTTCTGGTCAGTATGGCTGGTTGTATTCTGGTGTGGGTATGGCTGATTGTATTGTGGTCAGTATGGCTGATGGTATTGTTCTGGTCAGTATGGCTGATTGTATTGTTCTGGTGTGGGTATGGCTGATGGTATTCTGGTGTCAGTATGGTTCGTGTGTGTTGTTCTGGTGTCAGTATGGTTCGTGTGTGTTGTTCTGGTGTCAGTATGGTTCGTGTGTGTTGTTCTGGTGTCAGTATGGTTCGTGTGTGTTGTTCTGGTGTCAGTATGGTTCGTGTGTGTTGTTCTGGTGTCAGTATGGTTCGTGTGTGTTGTTCTGGTGTCAGTATGGTTCGTGTGTGTTGTTCTGGTGTCAGTATGGTTCGTGTGTGTGGTTCTGGTGTCAGTATGGTTCGTGTGTGTGGTTCTGGTGTCAGTATGGTTCGTATGTGTGGTTCTGGTGTCAGTATGGTTCGTGTGTGTGGTTCTGGTGTCAGTATGGTTCGTGTGTGTTGTTCTGGTGTCAGTATGGTTCGTGTGTGGTGTTCTGGTGTCAGTATTTTTAGTGTTTGTTGATGGATGGCTTATGTTGTGTCTAGCGTATTTGTGTAACATCTGCGACGGGAAAGCAGTGGTATAGGGCAACTTTTTTCTCATATTATTGATGGCATATATTGCTTGATGAATAAGACACACGAGCATTAGTTGAGGATCTTTACTGGCGAAATGTTTTTCCTGCGCAGCAAGCTGCTCCAGTCGAATACAGATGAGATGTGATTTTAATACTGGAGACAGTGGAAGAGGTGGAGACGTAATTTTTGAGGTATTCAATCCTTAGCCTTTATGAAACATTTTCAGTTCCTTGGTCACGATAGAAAGTGGTTAGTTTCTTAGCCAGATGTAATGCCGACAGATAAGAGTATGAAGGCCATACACAGAAGATTTTATGTGGACGACTTTTCACTCAGGGGTAGTTTTTACCTTGAGCAAATTGTCCCAATTAACCCTTAAACTGTCCAAGCGTAGATCAACGTTTTTTCAACATTTGAAAGTATGTAAAAAAAAGTAGATTTTTTTTATATATTTGAAAACGTTAAAAAAAACTTTGATCTACTTTTTTTTGTTATATTTGAAAATATGTAAAAAAAACGTAGATCTACTTTTGGAGTTCTATGCATGTGAACATAGATCTGCTTGGACAGTTCAAGGTTTTTTTAAAACTTGTTGTGCATACTGTGTCTTCAGGCAGATTTATAGTTCCGTTATACAACCACTGGCACAAGTGTGAAGTGTATCTCAAATAGTACAGTTAGCCAGGCAAGTGTATTGCACTGTGCGTGGCTGGGTCATTAAGGGCGCACGTTCATCCATATTATGTTTTATAAATTTCCCCCTTTCTTAATCACGAAGTCGTAATAACATGATTGCAAACAAATCACGGAACAAGTGGGGGATCGAACCCATAGCAGTGAGTCCTAAAACAGGCAAGTGTGAGGTTTAGGACTCGCTTGCCATGAGTTCGAGTCTCACTTCTGTGATTTCCCATGCTTGCTCGTACACTTTCCTTCCCTCTTTTGTACGTTTCTCTCTTTCCTAGGCTACTTTCTTCCCTCCATATAAATTTATGGCAAGGTCATTTAATAGCAGACACAGTACATTGATGAGACTAATATTTCAGAGATAATGAATGAGGTGATAAGGTCGAAGAAGAAGTCGGCGAGCACTGACTGGCGGGTGCTGGTAGTGGATCAGCTGGCCATGCGCATGGTCTCCACTTGCCTTAAGATGCACGACATTTCTGCCGAGGGCATCACAAGTGAGTTTACCTGACTAATTTTTTGAGTATATAAAAATAGAGGAATATTGTATTAATCCTACTAGCCTATGTTAGGAAGGTCCTACTCACCCAACCATATACTGTCTTGCCCTACCCATTTTTAAAGCTACATAAAATATATTACCATTATTCCCTTCAGTGACATTACAGTGCTTGAAAACTTGTTCTACTCATCCACAACTCTCGCTAATATCAGTGCTGCAAGTTCTGTGTTGATTAGAAAGTTTTAGTACATTTTTTGTTGTGGGGGGGGGGGGTGTACTTGCCTAATTGTGGTTGCAGGGATCGATTCGTAGCTGCCTCTTCACTGGTCGCTACTAGGTCACACACTCCCTGTTCCATGAGCCTTATCTTACCTCTTCATAAAGCTGTGTATGGATCCTGCCTCCACTACATCACTTTCCAGACTATTCCACTTCCTGACAACTGTGACTGAAGAAATACTACCTAACGTCTCTGTGACTCATATGAGTCTTCAACTTCCAATTGTGACCCCTTGTTGCTGTGTCCCATCTCTGGAACATCCTGCCTCTGTCCACCTTGTCCATTCCTCTCAGTATTTTATGTCATTATCATGTCCTCCCTATCCCTCCTGTCCTCTAGTGTTGTCAGGTTGATTTCCCTTAATCTCTCCTCATAGGACGTGCTCCTTAGCTCCAGGACTAGTCTCATTGCAAACCTTTGCGATGATAGTCCTGACGTGCTAGACCAGGTGTGGTTTCCAGACTGGTGTTGCATACTTCAATATGGGTCTGATGTACGTGGTGTACAGTCCTGAACTATTCCTTATTGAGATGTCATGTGTTTGTGTGTGCCCATAGGTGTATCCACCTAATTGTACTCGCGTAATTGTGGTTGCAGGGGTCGAGACTCGGCTCCTGGCCCCGCCTCTTCACTTACCGCTACTGGGTCCTCCCTCTCCCTGCTCCATGAGCTTTACCATACCTCGTCTTAAAACTATGTATAGTTCCTGCCTCCACTACATCACTTGCCAGACTATTTCACTTCCTAACAACTCTGTGGCTGAAGAAATACTTCCTGACATCCCTTTGACTCATCTGAGTCTTCAGCTTCCTATTATGACCCCTTGTTTCTGTGTCCCATCTCTGGAACATCCTGTCTCTGTCCACCTTGTTTGTTCCATGCAGTATTTTGTATGTCATTATCATGTCTTCCCTGACCCTCCTGTCCTCCAGTGTCGTCAGACCTATTTCCCTTAACCTTTCCTTATAGGACATTCCCCTTAGCTCTGGAACCAGCCTTGTTGCAAACCTTTGCACTTTCTCTAATTTCTTGACGTGTTTGACCAGGCATGAGTTCCAAACTGGTGCTGCGTACTCCAGTATGGGCCTGACGTACACAGTGTATAAAGTCTTGAACGATTCCTTACTGAGGTACTGGAACGCTATTCTCAGGTGTGTGTACCTGTAGGTGTGTAATTGTGAGTACTCACCTAGTTGTACTCACCTAGTTGAGGTTGCAGGGGTCGAGTCCTAGCTCCTGAGTGTAGATACATGTGTGTGTGTGTATGTGTGTAGGTTCATGTGTGTGTGAACTATTGTACAAACATTTTCAAGAGATGGATCAAAAGACTATGTCTGAACTTGGTGAAATTTAATGGGAGTTTGGATGTTATTTGGAGGAGAATACATTGGCAGGATCATAATATTCTACTTAGGAGATAATATTGCTGCTTTCAGCCATTCCATGATGCTTATGGTAACTAATTGTATTTAATTTTTAGTTGTGGAAGACATCAATAAGAGTCGAGAGCCACTGCCAGCATTGGAAGCAATCTACCTCATTCAGCCCACGAAACTTTCTATATCTAGCCTCGAACAAGACTTTATCACATCCAATAAAGCCAGATATAAAGCCTGTCATGTCTACTTTACAGAAAGTGAGTATAGTATGTGAAGCAGTTTGTGATGGATGCTGTACACTCTTCAAGGGAGGTGTCTTGATGCTGTTTAAGAGATCTTGATCCAAGGAATTTGATCTACTCTCTCCTTGGTTCAGACTTGATTACTGTACTTTCCATTCTCCAGGCACTGTGTGGCTGATGGATTTAGCATGTCTTTGTCAGTATTCAGTATGATGATAATCATTAATAATAGTAATAGATGTACTTAAAATTATTATATCACTGTATACGGATGTGATAGGTTCTGCATAGACAGTAAAGACATACTTTCTGAAATGTTGATGCATGTAAGAAAACTTGATTGATTGTTAGCTTTATATTAAAGAATAAACTCCACTTGACAGTAACTTATGACACCTCAATATGTAATATACACATCACCTGTTCACTTTGGTAGCAGTGGTATCTGAGGACGTACAGTTAGTCGTCCTAAAAAATGGAAAAGCATTTTATTTGATCTTTACTTATTCCTTCCAGAATGGCTGATAATCCTTTTTTGATGAGTGACTGAAGCATAATAAATTAAGTAGTCAATAAATTTAGTGGAGTGCTATTATTCTGTGAATGTTCAGTTCTTACACTTCCTGGCAACATTTGCTTAATTGTTAACATGGATTACTCTTGATGGAAGCTTTGACTAAATTGTACGTATATACATTTGAATATCAGACCCAAGTTTAAATGAGTGGATTTCTTCAGCTAAAATTTTGTTAATTAAAGAATATTTACTAAAGTACAGCTTGCGCCATATTCACTTAAACATTAACCATGCATATATGATAAGAGTTCTAATACTTTATTAAACCCTTACGAAGCTATTTTAATAATTCTTCATAAAAGTATTTGGAGGATGCTGAATCTGAAACTACAATTGTCATTTTTATTTATTCCTTTGCATTAATGTATTCTTTTGCATTAACATAATTTTTAAATTAAACAGTTATATAAATGAGTAATTGACTGAGGGTTTATTATACACCACTGGCCCTATGTGGAGGTGTTAATTATGTCTTGAGTACCATTACATTTATTGACCTGACATTTATATTGGTTTGATTCACTGATATAAGATTGTTCAGTATTTAATTAGCTATCCACAAAGGGTTACCTACCTGTTCATGAATTGTTAACTTTTTTCCTATCAAGATTTTCATTTATATCTTAAACAACTCATTTAATCAGCTTTAAATTTTTAACTTTGGTGCTCAGAAATAAGGGAGGGATTCATTAACTATTGTCACGTGTAGGTGACCTTTGGTCACTTTTTTGTAGACCATTCATGATTTTGGTTTCTATGGAGTAACTTGAGAGAACAACATCTGATCACAGTCAGACTTTTAAAACTGGTATATCATACTTAGAAGAAGGTTGGGATTGTTATTGAAGTGTCCAGGTGTCAGTTCATCAAATTTATTTTAATCTAGCATTATTATCTGTGAAGTAACTTAAGTGTACCTTCTCTGAATAGCTTCAATCTTTAATGGCTGGTGTAGTCTGTAGATAGGATGCTATCCAATAAGTTTAGGCTTTGTAGATATAAATTTCCCAATTTATTAACATAGTTAATAAACTTGGAAATGTTTTCTCTGTGCAGTAACTGGAGAATTGCTCTTTGGACAGACTTCAGTCTTTTACTGCTGTTGTGGTTTTCTTAAAGGAAGTTTTATGTTTATTGTGCAAGTCATATTTTGCCAAATTTATTAAAAAAAATCTTTGCAATAACTGGAGTATGCCTCTTCTGCTTGGCTTCATGCCTTAAATGCTGGGGTGGGTGGTAAAGGCACAAATTGTTTTGAAAAAATTGAGAAAATTAAAATTTTGTTCTGGTTTTCATGCAGTAATTTGTAAATGCTTCCTCTAATCAACTCCAAACTAATACCTTGAGAATGCAACTTCATAATGGCCTTAAGCTTAAAGGGTTGGTGTATTTTGTAGTATTAGAATGTGGGGCAGAAGTTTTTGGCTATGGGGTGGGTGCAGGAGGAAAGAGGAGTGATTGGTGGAATGATGAGGTAAAGGGTGCAATAAAAGAGAAAAAGGTAGCTTATGAGAGGTTTTTACAAAGCAGAAGTGATATAAGAAGGGCAGAGTATATGGAGAGTAAAAGAAAGGTAAAGAGAGTGGTGAGAGAGTGCAAAAGGAGAACAAATGATACGTGGGAAAGGCACCGTCAAGAAATTTTGCTGGGAACTGACAAATGAATTTCTTTCTTCTTTCTTTCAACACACCAGCCGTATCCCACTGAAGTGGGGTGGCCCAAAAAGAAAAAACAAAAGTTTCTCTTTTTAAATTTAGTAATTTATACAGGAGAAGGGGTTACTAGCCCCTTGCTCCTGGCATTTTAGCTGCCTCTTACAACATGCATAGCTTATGGAGGAAGAATTCTGTTCCACTTTCCATGGAGATAAGAGGAAATAAACAAGAACAAGAACTAGTAAGAAAATAGAAGAAAACCCAGAGGGGTGTGTATATATATGCTTGTACATGTATGTGTAGTGTGACCTAAGTGTAAGTAGAAGTAGCAAGACGTACCTGAAACCTTGCATGTTTGAGACAGAAAAAAGACACCAGCAATCCTACCATCATGTAAAACAATTACAGGCTTTCGTTTTACACTCACTTGGCAGGATGGTAGTACCTCCCTGGGCAGTTGCTGTCTACCAACCTACTACCTCTAACAAATGAATTTGTCAGTTAAAAACAGAGTAGGGGAGTTAGTAGATGGGGAGCTGGAGGTATTGGATAGATGGCAGGAATATTTTGAGGATCTTTGAAGAAAGGGAGGCAGTAATTTCATGCACTGGCCAGAGGTATAACATCTTTTAGGAGTGAAGAAGAGCAGGATGTGAGTGTGGGGAAGGTGCATGAGGCATTAGGTAGAATGAAAGAGGGTAAAGCAGCTGGAACTGATGGGATCATGACCGGAATGTTAAAAGCAGGGGGTGATATAGTGTTGGAGTGGTAGGTGTTTTTGTTTAATAAATGTATCAAAGAGGGGAAGGTACCTAGGGATTGGCAGAGAGCATGTATAATTCTTTTATGTAAAGGGATGGGGGATAAGAGAGATTGTAAAAAAAATGTAGGGGAATAAGTTTACTGAGTATAGTACCAGGTAGTGTATGGTAGGGTTATTATTGAAAGAATTAGAAGTAAGACAGAGCAGGATTGCAGATGAGCAAGGAGGCTTTAGAATAAACCATACCCCGGCCGGGATTGAACCCGCGGTCAGAGAGTCTCAAAATTCCAGCCCGTCGCGTTAGCCACTAGACCAGCTAGCCACAATAAGATTTGTCCAACTAGGCATATTTCTACGCCATAGGAAGGTTAGCACAGGCACCACTGTGACCACAAATGCAAGTTTTTACAGACGAATCTCCAGCTAGCGTGGCCGTGACGAACTATAGCTCGAGTCCCTTCACTGCCGTCAACGTGACTCATGAAATCGTAATGACATGATTGCAAACAAACCATACCCCGGCCGGGATTGAACCTGCGGTCAGAGAGTCTCAAAACTCCAGCCCGTCGTGTTAGAAACGCTAGCTGGAGATTCGTCTGTAAAAACTTGCATTTGTGGTCACAGTGGTGCCTGTGCTAACCTTCCCATGGTGTAGAAATATGCCTAGTTGGACAAATCTTATTGTGGCTAGCTGGTCTAGTGGCTAACGCGACGGGCTGGAGTTTTGAGACTCTCTGACCGCGGGCTCAATCCCGGCCGGGGTATGGTTTGTTTGCAATCGTGTCATTACGATTTCGTGAGTCATGTTGATGGCAGTGAAGGGACTTGAGCTAGAGTTCGTCACGGCCACGCTAGCTGGAGATTCGTCTGTGTGATGAATGGTTTTGAAAACCGACAAGTTGAAGAATTGAGACACTTATGCAACACATGGGAATCTTTATTGAAGAAACGTTTCGCCACACAGTGGCTTCATCAGTCCAATACAAAGTAGAAATGGGTAAGGAGAGTAGAAGTATGAGGTAATCAGTCCCTCAACCTGGATTCGATGTGTTCAGTCCATCACTCTTGTAGTAAGTCTGTAAAAACTTGCATTTGTGGTCACAGTGGTGCCTGTGCTAACCTTCCTATGGTGTAGAAATATGCCTAGTTGGACGAATCTTATTGTGGCTAGCTGGTCTAGTGGCTAACGCGATGGGCTGGAGTTTTGAGACTCTCTGACCGCGGGTTCAATCCCGGCCGGGGTATGGTTTGTTTGCAATCGTGTCATTACGATTTCATGAGTCAGGCTTTAGAATGGGTAGGGGATGTGTAGATCAGGTGTTTACATTGAAGCTTATATGTGAACAGTATTTAGATAAAGGTAGGGAAGTTTTCATTGCATTTATGGATTTAGAAAAGGCATATTGAGGATAGTGAGGCTCAGGTTAGGGTGTATAGGAGAGAGGGAGATTACTTCCCAGTAAAAATAAGTCTTTAGACAGGGATGTGTAATGTCACCATGGTTGTTTAACACATTTATAGATGGGGTTGTAAAAGAAGTAAATGCTAGGGTGTTGGGGAGAGGGGCAGGATTAAATTATAGGGAATCAAATACAAAATGGGAGCTGACACAGTTACCTTTTGCTGATAATACTGTGCTTTTGGGAGATTCTAAAGAAAAGTTGCAAAGGTTAGTGGGTGAGTTTGGGAGGGTTTGTAAAGGTAGAAAGTTGAAAGTGAATATAAATAAAAGAAAGTTGATGAGTGTATCAAATGATTTATATGAAGAATTGGATGACAAATTGGAGGGAGGGAGTATGGAAGAAGTGTTGAGACACTTGTGCAACATACTGGAATCTTTATTGAAGAAACGTTTCGCCACACAGTGGCTTCATCAGTCCAATACAAAGTAGAAATGGGTAAGGAGAGGAGGAGTTTGAGGTAATCAGTAAACTGTCAGACACTGCAACATCATGGGATCTTGATACAAAGACTTCAACGCTTGTCCAACCTTTGGACAATGACCTACTTACACTAGTGGCAGGTCCCACTGTGATCCCACCTCCTCCTACTTCGACTCGTCTGACTGCAGTAGATAAGCCACCTCTCTGGCCCTATGCTGCACTTCCTACAAGACTGATAGACTGAACACATCGATTCCAGGTTGAGGGACTGATTACCTCAAACTCCTCCTCTCCCTACCCATTTCTACTTTGTATTGGACTGATGAAGCCACTGTGTGGCGAAATGTTTCTTCAATAAAGATTCCCATATGTTGCACGTGTCTCAATTCTTCAACTTGTCAGTTTTCAAAACCATTCATCACATGGAAGAAGTGAATGTTTTCAGATATTTGGGAGTTGACTTGTCAGTGGATGGGTTTATGAAGGATGCGGTAAACCATAGAATTGATGAAGGAAAAAAGGTGAGTGGTGCATTGAGGCATCTGTAGAGACAAAGAATGTTATCCATGGAGGCAAAAAAAGGAAAGTGCGAGAGTATAGTGGTACCAACACTTGTGTGGGTGTGAAGCATGGGTTGTAAATGCTGCAGTGAGGAGGTGGCTGGAGGAAGTGGAGATGTTGTGTCTAAGGGCAATGTGTGGTGTAAATATTATGTAGAGAATTTGTAGTTTGGAAATTAGGAGGAGGTGTGGAGTTACTAAAAGTGTTAGAGGGCTGAAGAGGGGTTGTTGAAGTGGTTTCTTCATTTAGAGAGAATGGAACAAAGTAGAATGACTTGGAGAGCATATAAATCTATTGGGGAAGGAAGGTGGGGTAGGGGTCATCCCAGAAAAGGTTGGAGGGAGGGGGTAAAGGAGGTTTTGTGGGCAAGGGGCTTGGATGTCCAGCAAGCATGCTTGAGCGTGTTAGATAGGAGTAAATGGATACGAATGGTTTTTGAGACCTGACGAGCTGTTGGAGTGTGAACAGGGTAATATTTTACGAAGGGATTTAGGGAAACCTGTTAGTTGGATTTGAGTCGTGGAAATGGGAAGTATAATGCCTGCACTTTAAAGGAAGGGTTTAAGGTATTGGTAGTTTGGAGGGGCATCTAAGCTGTCGTATCTGAGCGTCTCTGCAAAGACAGTGATTATGTATAAGTGACGGTGAAAGTGTTGAATGATGATAAAAGTTTTTTCTTTCTTTCTGGGTTTTTTCTTTTTTGGGTCACTGTGCCTTGGTGCTAAACGGCCGATACGTTAAAAAAAAAAATTGATCTCTATTAGGATATCTAGAGAATGCCTTTTTTGTTTATCTTTTAACTTTCAAGGCTGGTATGTCTTACTTAGTGGAGTGTTCAAATTGGTATTGGGTTGTGTAGGAGCCAATTTGCCAGATTTACTGAAGAAATTGTGGTGTCTGTTTCTATGCAGTAGCTAGTGACTGCCTCTTGTGATTAGCATCAAATCTGCAATGCTGATATTTAACTGCACTAAAAATGTTGTACTCGGTACTATAGTATTACTTTTGCATGTATTGAGGTAGAGGGTGGTGGGCTTATGGGATATTGAAATACATTTCTTGAATCCCACAGCGGTCGAAAACTTCTAGTTTTAATTATCTTGTGTTATAATTTTGGTTTAATTAAGTGTTGCTGTTAATGAATGAGCTGCATGTTCAAACAGTGCACCACATATAAAATGTTTAGGTAAGGTTACAGTGTTTTCAGCACTTCATGGGCCTTTCCCAGTACATATTTTAAGTACGTATTATTTTTCCCCCTAATTTTAAAATAAATGTAAAATACTATTGTAAGTGATATCTTATGAAATTGGGGTTTTCCTTTGTTTTTAATTATTAGTTTATACTTCACCTTTTCAGCATGTACATTTACATACATTGTATGGCATATGTACATATGTTGCAAATTTGATGCATAAATATAGTTTTTGAATAATTGTTTTAAGGGTTAAATGAAGAGTATGCAATGCCTGGAATAGTAAATAGTTTATAGGAGGTCGTTAGTAGTATTGAGAGGTAAATGTTGATGAGTAAGTTACAAGTGCTCTTTTGAAAGACTTGCACTCTGAATCTGTGAAAAAGGCTCTGAAATTAAAAAGAAAGTATAAAAGAATTCCCTTTATAGTAAGAATGGTAGCACACGTGGAAATATAGAATGAATCAGAATGAAAACATAATTTGAAAATCTTTCATTAGGAATGAAAATATGTCATTAAGAAAGAAAATCTATCATTAAAAATGATTGTCTTGATCACTTTTGGATCATGGTTGACACAGATTATGGGGGCTTTTCCTATACCTGGCATCTATCATTGGTTTATATCAAGTACCACATTCATACAGCAATATCATTACAGTTTATTGACTCTTGCTTGAGCTTATCTTATAAATTTTTAAGATAGACAATTACAAAATTTATACAGCTTCACTGTTATTTCCTCTCTGTTTTATATGTACAGTCTTTAGTTTCTACTTCTGTCTGCTTGTCATGCAACTGTTTGCTCTTCTACTTCTCTGGCTAATAAACTGTAGCAGAATTTTTAGTAGATGACATGATCATTGATGTATGCTATGTGTACATGTACTGTAGGCACATTAGGGCAGTTGCACATTTATTTGCCAACTTAAAATACTTTTGGAAGTAAATGCAGCATATTAAATATATTGGAATTAGGTTAATTAGTGTTTGTTGAAGAGAAAGATTTGGTATGCTTTTATAATAATCAAAGAATACAGGTATGTGCAAGTGGATAACTATATATTCTGTACTTTAATGGATGAATGTGTATGTCTATAGAGGCATATTAAGAGCACCCTGTTATGTAACTCATAATTACACATGTATCAAGTGCATGAAAAGGTGCATTACTTATATTTTCTGGTGTGAGCATGCCAATGTTTCACCAACTAAGTTGTCTTTCTTATTTACAGCTTGTCCGAATGAGTTGTTTAATGAGCTATGTAAACAACACGTTGTCAAGTATATCAAGACCCTTAAGGAAATCAACATTGCCTTTTTACCCTATGAAAGCCAGGTATTTATTGTATAAGATCAGATTTGGAATCAGTTGTCTGTCTCACTTTTTGTTCAAGTGAGATATAGCAGTTCTCTCACTTTTGTCTTAGTCAGTGAAGGTTAGCATTTGAGACAAGTATATTATAATCATAGTCTTGCTCTTCATTTCCCTTTTTCTCCAGTTTCTCCTACCTCTTCCCTCCTCATTCCTCCCCTTCCTTGCCTCATCCTTCCTCTCTCTATTCTCTTCCCTCCTCTTTTCCTTACTTGCCTTTCTCCCTTTCCTTTTCTTTCTCTCCTTTTCACTTCTTCCTCTCTTCTTCCTCCTCTTTGTCTTTTCCTCATTTACCTCTTTTCATTCTTCTTCCTCTGTTCCTTCCTCTTCTTACTCTTCTCCTCATTCCTCTCCTCTTACCTCTCCTCATTTTTCTTCATTTTTCTCCCCCTCTCTACACCCCTCTTCTTTCCCTACCACTCCCCCTCCCCTCTCCCTCCCTCTTTCTCTGTTTTTACCCTCTCTCTTTTCCCTCCTTCCATCCCTTCCTGTGGTTTGGGTTACCTCTATAAATAAAATGGCATTGGAGCATTAGGCTCAAAAGAAACTTGACAATCACTAGGGTCTCCAGGATGGACCAGAACATCTCAACTTTCATCTTTAAGTATGGGTTATTAGTGAATTATTCCAGCCACAATATTGTGGATGTCACTCTTGAACAAGCTTAAATGAAGCTTACCTGTACTTTCACTTGAAAAAAAATTCTGGGAGATAATTTTCATAATTTTATAAAACAGCTCTATATATATTATATATATATATATATATATATATATATATATATATATATATATATAGGTAGTAGGTTGGTAGACAGCAACCACCCAGGGAGGTACTACCGTCCTGCCAAGTGAGTGTAAAACGAAGCCTGTGATTGTTTTACATGATGGTAGGATTGCTGATGTCTTTTGTCTGTCTCATAAATATGCAAGATTACAGGCATGTCTTGCTACTTCTACTTACACTTAGGTCACACTACACATACATGTACACATTTATTTATACACACTCATCTGAGTTTTCTTTGATTTTATCTTAATAGTTCTTGGTCTTATTAATTTTCCTTTTATATCCATGGGGAAGTGGAATAAGAATCTTTCCTCCGTAAGCCATGCGTGTTGTAAAAGTCAACTAAAATGCCGGGAACAATGGGCTAGTAACCCCTTTTCCTGTAAAGATTACTAAAAAGAATAAGAAGAAGAAAATTGTCAAAGTGGGAAGTCTGAATGTGCGTGGATGTTTGTGCAGATGATAAGAAAGAGATGATTGTGGATGTTATGAATGAGAAGAAGCTGGATGTCCCTGGCTTTAAGTGAAACAAAGCTGAAGGGGTGGGAGAGTTTCAGTGGAGAGGAATAAATGGGATTAGGTCAGGGGTTTCAAATAGAGTTAGAGCTAAAGAAGGAGTAGCAATAATGTTGAAGGATAAGCTATGGCAAGAAAAGAGGGACTATAAATGTATTAATTCAAGATTATGTGGAGTAAAATAAAGATTGGATGTGAAAAGTGGTTTATAATAAGCGTGTATGCACCTGGAGAAGAGAGAAGTGTAGAGGAGAGAGAGAGATTTTGGGAAATGTTGAGTGAATGCGTGGGGAGTTTTGAATCAAGTGTGAGAGTAATGGTGGTTGGGGATTTTAATGCTAAAGTGGGTAAAAATGTTATGGAGGGAGTAGTAGGTAATTTGGGGTGCCAGGGGTAAATGTAAATGGGGAGCCTTTAATTGAGCTATGTGTAGAAAGAAATTTGGTAATAAGTAATACATATTTTATGAAAAAGAGGATAAATAAATATACAAGGTATGATGTAGCACGTAATGAAAGTAGTTTATTAGATTATGTATTGGTGGATAAAAGGTTGATGGGTAGGCTCCAGATGTACATGTTTATAGAGGGGCAACTGATATATCGGATCATTATTTAGTTGTAGCTACAGTTAGAGTAAGAGGTAGATGGGAAAAGAGGAAGGTGGCAACAACAAGTAAGAGGGAAGTGAAAGTGTATAAACTAAGGAGGAGGAAGTTCGGGTGAGATATAAGCGACTATTGGCAGAAAGTGTGGGCTAGTGCAAAGATGAGTAGTGGGGGGGTTGAAGAGGGTTGGAATAGTTTTTAAAAATGCAGTATTAGAATGTGGGGCAGAAGTTTGTGGTTATAGGAGGGTGGGGGCAGGAGGAAAAGAAGTGATTGGTGGAATGATGAAGTAAAGGTGTGATAAAGAGAAAAAGGTAGCTTATGAGAGGTTTTTACAAAGCAGAAGTGTTATAAGAAGAGCAGAGTATATGGAGAGTAAAAGAAAGGTAAAGAGAGTGGTGAGAGAGTGCAAAAGGAGAGCAGATGATAGAGTGGGAGAGGCACTGTCAAGAAATTTTAATGAAAATAAGAAAAAATTTTGGAGTGAGTTAAACAAGTTAAGAAAGCCTAGGAAAATATGGATTTGTCAGTTAAACAACAGAGTAGGGGAGTTAGTAGATGGGGAGATGGAGGTATTGGGTAGATGGCGAGAATATTTTGAGGAACTTTTAAATGTTAAGGAAGAAACAGAGGCAGTAATTTCATGCACTGGTCAGGGAGGTATACCATCTTTTAGGAGTGAAGAAGAGCAGAATGTAAGTGTGGGGGAGGTACGTGAGGCATTACGTAAAATGAAAGGGGGTAAAGCAGCTGGAACTGATGGGATCATGACAGAAATGTTAAAAGCAGGGGGGGGATATAGTGTTGGAGTGGTTGGTACTTTTGTTTAATAAATGTATGAAAGAGGGGAAGGTACCTAGGGATTGGCAGAGAGCATGTATAGTCCCTTTATATAAAGGGAAAGGGACAAAAGAGACTGTAAAAATTATAGAGGAATAAGCTTACTGAGTTATCCAGGAAAAGTGTACGGTAGGGTTATAATTGAAAGAATTAGAGGTAAGACAGAATGTAGGATTGCGGATGAGCAAGGAGGTTTTAGAGTGGGTAGGGGATGTGTAGATCAGGTGTTTACATTGAAGCATATATGTGAACAGTATTTAGATAAGATAGGGAAGTTTTTATTGCATTTATGGATTTAGAAAAGGCATATGATAGAGTGGATAGAGGAGCAATGTGGCAGATGTTGCAAGTATATGGAATAGGTGGTAAGTTATTAAATGCTGTAAAGAGTTTTTATGAGGATAGTGAGGCTCAGGTTAGGGTGTGTTAGAAGAGAGGGAGACTACTTCCCGGTTAAAAGTAGGTCTTAGACAGGGATGTGTAATGTCACCATGGTTGTTTAATATATTTATAGATGGGGTTGTAAAGGAAGTAAATGCTAGGGGTGTTTTGGGAGAGGGGTGGGATTAAATTATGGGGAATCAAATTCAAAATGGGAATTGACACAGTTACTTTTTGCTGATGATACTGTGCTTATGGGAGATTCTAAAGAAAAATTGCAAAGGTTAGTGGATGAGTTTGGGAATGTGTGTAAAGGTAGAAAGTTGAAAGTGAACATAGAAAAGAGTAAGGTGATGAGGGTGTCAAATGATTTAGATAAAGAAAAATTGGATATCAAATTGGGGAGGAGGAGTATGGAAGAAGTGAATGTTTTCAGATACTTGGGAGTTGACGTGTCGGCGGATGGATTTATGAAGGATGAGGTTAATCATAGAATTGATGAGGGAAAAAAGGTGAGTGGTGCGTTGAGGTATATGTGGAGTCAAAAAACGTTATCTATGGAGGCAAAGAAGGGAATGTATGAAAGTATAGTAGTACCAACACTCTTATATGGGTGTGAAGCTTGGGTGGTAAATGCAGCAGCGAGGAGACGGTTGGAGGCAGCGGAGATGTCCTGTTTAAGGGCAATGTGTGGTGTAAATATTATGCAGAAAATTCGGAGTGTGGAAATTAGGAGAAGTGTGGAGTTAATAAAAGTATTAGTCAGAGGGCAGAAGAGGGGTTGTTGAGGTGGTTTGGTCATTTAGAGAGAATGGATCACAGTAGAATGACATGGAAAGCATATAAATCTATAGGGGAAGGAAGGCGGGGTAGGGGTCGTCCTCGAAAGGGTTGGAGAGAGGGGGTAAAGGAGGTTTTGTGGGTAAGGGGCTTGGACTTCCAGCAAGCGTGCGTGAGCGTGTTAGATAGGAGTGAATGGAGACGAATGGTACTTGGGACCTGACGATCTGTTGGAGTGTGAGCAGGGTAATATTTAGTGAAGGGATTCAGGGAAACCGGTTATTTTCATATAGTCGGACTTGAGTCCTGGAAATGGGAAGTACAATGCCTGCACTTTAAAGGAGGGGTTTGGGATATTGGCAGTTTGGAGGGATATGTTGTGTATCTTTATATGTTTATGCTTCTAGACTGTTGTATTCTGAGCACCTCTGCAAAAACAGTGATAATGTGCGAGTGTGGTGAAAGTGTTGAATGATGATGAAAGTATTTTCTTTTTGGGGATTTTCTTTCTTTTTTGGGTCACCCTGCCTCGGTGGGAGACGGCCGACTTGTTGAAAAAAAAAAAAAAAAAAAAAAATATATATATATATATAATATATATATATATATATATATATATATATATATATTTATATTTATTTATTTATTTATTTATTTTTATAGATTTTTTTTTTTTAATTTATTGTATATGTTCATTATTATACAGCACAGAATATAAATACTTCGTGGTTTTCAGGAATGTAACTGCTGTATAGCACTTTTCCAAGTTCCCCTTTTTTTAATTCACGATGATAAACAAGTGGGAAGCAAATGTGATGACAGCTTATAGAGTTGCTAATGCATTTCACTAGTTGACTTAGTGTTAAGAGGCAAGACCCAGGAGCTGGAGCTTGGAACCTGTAGCCTCAGACTAGTACACACAAATAGAAAAAAAGCAAAGGAAATGACAAAGAGTGAAACAAAATTGAATATTATTTAAATTTGTAAGAAAGTAATTAACTTTCTAACCTAAGATACAAGCGATAAGAGTGGATTATTATTGTGTGCAAAG